TGGTCTCGATCTCTTGACCTCGTGATCCACCCGCCTCGGCCTCCCAAAGTGCTGGGATTACAGGCTTGAGCCACCGCGCCCGGCCGCATACTCAGTGTTTTAATGGCAGTACGGTGCTGCTGATTTATGCTCTGCCCTCCAAATCTGTGGCCTGTCCCTCCTTTCTGCCACACTCAGATATGGCCATTTGCCCCCATCTCACACTTAGGTGATTTGTTTCCCTTTGACAAATATGTTGATTTAAATGTGTCCCTTCCATCCTCTCTGCTTCAGATGGCTTGTTAAAAGCAGGTTGGTTATGTTCCCATCTCTGTGGCTCATGCTCTTAGTGACCATGTTGGCCATTCCACAGTACTTTCTGGTTGTAGAACAATACATTTGTCTCTCTCAATGGGCTGTGAATTGCTCTAGACAGCTCCTTCCCGAAAATGCCCCCATTCATTGCTATATTCTTATATAAATCTCAGCTAGTATTGAACAGTTAATATTTACCAAAGGGAAACCGTAGTGCACATGCTTTATTATTCAACAAAGCAGTGGAATGGGGCATCAATAGGTTTTTATTCCTTCTGCGAGGCGTTTGACCTTCTATCACATTGATGGTGATGACTCTGCCTTTTGTGCACTCTCGATAAACCACAGAAGAGAGGTGCAAGATCTTTGCAGGGAAAGCTCTGTGACTCATGTTGCCTGCACCCTTCGGGACAATCTGTGCTGCATCTAGCAAAGTCTTCCCAAACAGCTTGGAGAAAGTCCCTGTGCTCTGTATGGTCAAATAATGTATTCCGGAAGTTCTTCCTCTTTTAGACGGCAAAAAGCGCTGCCTGGGCAGACCTTCTCCAAACCCAGTGAGGTCTTTGGACTCTGCACCTTTGCAGGAACAGTGATTTGTTTGATAACAAATGGACAGCTGTCAGCCGGTGATGGGTCAATAATGAGATAATTGCCAAATGGGAACGTCCTTTTCTGCTGTAGGATTCCAGCAGCTGCTCTGATTAGAATTATGTCTGAGAAGATTGCCAAGAGGAAATAAGAAACGTATGTTTCTTGCTACCAGTAAAAGAAATTCTACATACTGTGGTATTAAATCTGTTCATATTAGGCCAGAAATGATAGATGAGCTCCTCTGTGATGGTGAAAATTTCAGTCAAGGAGGAGAGACACATTTCATGTCATGGGGCTTGGAATTTTATGAGCCACTCTCTAAATTCCCCTAGCAACCCCTACGTATCTGTTTTCAAAGTATTCGTTCATATTTCTATGGTTGCTGAATAGTATTATAATGTAACAATGATGATGATGATAATGATAATGATGATTTTGATCTAAGAGCCAGCTTGTTACTTTTCTGTCTGTTGGTTTTGTTTTGTAGCGGTGTCCTTGGCTCTTGCTTTGAATGGAGTCTGCACAAACACTATTAAATTAATAGTGGGAAGGTAAGTTCCAAGAATAATGAAATGATGACTTAGACTATCAAGGTCATCTATACAGGAAGCTGGGCCAGAGGACACTGATGGGACAGATTTGAGCTTGTCTATTTCTCCCTTAAATCATTGTCCTTCTTAGCTTTCCATCCTTAGCACAGATCTTTCCCTTTGAATTACAAACCCACTGTTTTAGAAAGCAGGAGATCAATTCCAAGGAAGTATCCACTGACCATACTTTCTTGTGGGACAAAGCTCACTGCTGGTGTTTTCAGCTCCTTCCACTGCCATCCCAGGGCCTCACTCGGACACACACAAACTTGTCAGTTTTGGCCTCTAATAAATAAATAATTACTTATTTATCATTCTCTTCAGGATGAAACATATGGATTGGCATTTCAGCCTTGGCTTACAGCACATTTCTCTTACTGCCCCTGCAAAATGATTTCTGTTTTGTATTTATCTTTCCTTCCCCTCTGACGGCTGTGGGGAAGAGCTGGTATCTGCAAACATTAGCAGTCAAAACATCTAAATTCAAGACCTAACTGACTCTCACTGTCTGCTGGCCTGGGACACATTAGATGCCCTCTCAGAACCTTAGTATTTATTTTATCTGCTGAGTGTAGGCCAGGCATTGAAGGGGCAGGAGATAGATAAAGATCAGGCAGTGCATGGCCTGTTTCTGCTGTGCTCCCTTAACTTGGTGTGCTTGGAGCTACCGCAGTGCCCTGACCAGTGCTCACTGTCAGGCCTCGCCCCTCTGAGGTTCTGGTGCATTAAGTGGACATCCATACTTGGAGAAACACTGGCTGAGTTCCAGAGAGATAGTACCCCAGCTGTTGTGGTAGATTGCATAGGCCCTCCTTGAGCCACAGAGTTGAAGGACCAGTGATCAGTGTATGTGAACCGTGACCTGGAGTGCCCAGAAAGCAGGCGCTGTGTTTCCAGCATTAGCAAAGCTTCACCCATGGTAGTTGCTTGGTGAATATTAGTTGAGTATGAATGTGAGGTGATAGGCCATCACCCACCTGTGTGAGGATCCTCAGCCAAGCGAGGCAGAAAGCGTGAGGTGAAGCGTGTTGACACAAATTTCCATTCTCTGGTGTTCAGAGCTCGTTTTTGCCCCTTACTGGTTGTGTGTGACCTTGAGCAATGAAGAGCCTTCATTTTTTGCACCTGTAAAATACAGACAGCCCCAGGCTCTGCCTCAGGGTTCTCCTGAGGATTATATGGCACAACGGGTGTGTGGAGCTTAGCACTGTGTCAGAAGCCCAGTAAGTATTCAGAACTTACTGCAGCTGTGATTGCTACAGGAGGCTCGACTTCAGTCTCAGGGCCACCTCGATGTCCCTCTGGGGGTCTCTTTCCCATGCTCTCGACCAGAGAGGCCAACCTGGGGCACTGTGTCCTCTGCATCATGGAACTGAGCTTTCAAGGTCACTCAGTGAGGTGAGGTGAGGCCTACTGTTCCAGGAAAGGCAAGTGGCCGCCCACATTCAGGACACAGGGACACGAGGAGCCTGGAGCCTTGGATCCCAGAGGCAGCCTCCGAAATAGTGGCGTGGTAGATCAAGACAGGAAGTAACTTTTAGTAACCTTTAGTCCATGGGTTGCACAAAGCCTTCCCTTTCACACTTGTCAAACAAGGAACCTGGGCCAGAGGACCCTGCTGAGGTGCCTCCTGTAAGTCATGCCACTTTATCCTCAGGACTTCACCTTTGGGTTGGTATTGATTTCCCCTTCTACAGATGTGGAAACTGAAGCTGGGGGAGACCAAGTGGCCTTCCCAAGGTCATAAAGTGAGTAAGTGGTAAGCGTGAGTGCCAACTCAGATTTTTCTGACACCAAAGCCTGAGCTTTTCCCCCAACGGCTGTGTCTAGAGTGTTCCGTGGAAAGCTCCAGTGTTGATGGCCAAGGTGGCTGAGGAAGGAGCTGGGGGCAGTGGGGAGTTGGGGGGGGGGTCAGCTTGGGGTCATGTGTGATGGCAGCATTTTATATTGAAAATGTCCATGGTGTCTTTTGTAGACCTCGCCCCGATTTCTTTTACCGCTGCTTTCCAGATGGAGTGATGAACTCAGAAATGCACTGCACAGGTGACCCCGATCTGGTGTCCGAGGGCCGCAAAAGCTTCCCCAGCATCCATTCCTCCTGTAAGTTCATGGCTGGAATGCTCTTAATGCCCCAGTCATGTTTCCTGGTCACTTTCTTTGGGAATTTAGGTGAAGAGAAAAGCACTGGTATGTGAATGTTAAGCACAGTTCATTTTTCTTCACTTTACGGCATTTAGCTTAGAAACAAGATTATTTAACAGGAAGTAATAGGCCTGGGATGAGGATCTGGAGTTTATAAAACATTGTATGTGTTGCTTTCATGAGCTTGGGAGAATGTAACATGTGATGCTTTACCCCTTGACAGTACGATTCAGGACAAGGGAACCCTCCATGCTCCCTGGGACCCTCCATTGTTCCATTCATTGTTCTCTCTCATTTATTTCTTCAATTGAGGTGTTGCATGTGTGTGTACATAAATATATAGCACATATGTATACATATATACATACATATAAATATACATATGCATCCCTCCATACCCGCAGTATCTAGTCTGACTATAGACGTGTGAGCTCCTTAAAACAAAGACTGAATACTGTGAATTGGGAGCAGTGCAATGTAGTGGAAAAGGACACAGGTCCTTGAAGTCTAACAAATCCTGGCTCTGCCAGGTATTCGCTCTGAGACTTCACCTCCCTGTGCCTCAGTTCCTGCTGTGTAACATGGGAGTAAGAATGTCTCCATTATGGGTCAGAATGAGGATTACAATAAGTGGTGATGATCACTCACATTTCTGGAGCAGCAGCTATGCCAAAATGATTACAGAAATTATCTTATTTAATCCATTCAGTATATGTAAAGCCCTTAGTATTGTGACTTTCAATAAAGCAGAAGACATTCTTATTATCAGAGCTGAGGTTTCCTGAGCATGCTGGCTGTGTCATCATTCATCCCATCAGTTCACACTGTATGACTTAGGTGCCAGGTGCTGTGCCAGGCACTGGGGATACAAAGATAAATAAGATGCAGCTCGTATCCTGGGGAGTGCCCAGGTAGTGACAGACGATGTATTTAGGTTGATGATTCTTGGGATAGTTGGAGAACTATGGTCACAGGTGACCATCTTGAATAGGACAGGCTCTTCTCATGATGCCAAGTCCTTAATTCTCCTGCAAGTCTGATTAGTATTTAACTTTGGCAAGCTGCTATTTTAGTCTTTTTTTTTTCTTTCTTTTTTTTCCCCTAACTACCTGAGACACATCCTAACAATGGCTGAATCAAGAAAAAACTGAACGCTCTTTCCTGGGAGTGGTTGTTGGACACGTTGCTCGGGGCCGTTAAAGACTAGGGCCTGTCAACAAGACATTAGCTGGGGGCAGACACTCTAAATGACTCTAAATGTTGTGCAAATGAGTCACCTTGCACAACAGCCCACCAGGTGGGGGCTCGTCCCAGTTTTGCACATAAGGGCACTGAGGATCAGGCAGGCTTAGTAACTTGTCTGAGGACACCAGCTCTGACAGGAATAGCTGTGAGTACCAGCCGGAGGAATTCCTGCTGCCTTGGGACTTTCAATGATCAAATACAGCAAAGCATTTATAGTCCATGTTTATTTAAGTAAATAACTAATTTTCTTCTCTAGTTGTTTGGAAACTGGTGGGTTGAGTAGTTGCCTCCAAGAAGATATATTTAAGTTCTAGCCCCTGGAACATGTGAATGTGACCTTATTTGGAAAAGGGGTCTTGGTTGATATAAGATAAAGGAAAAGCCCTTTATCTTATAGTTTCCCATAAATGAGTATATGTAAGTTACATGTTTTGAGATGTTTAGTTATGAAATGTTACATGTTTTGAGACGTTTAGTTATGAAATGTATACTGAAAATTGGCTAAGAGAGTAGATTTTAAGTGCTGTAATCACAAAAAATAAAAATGTAACCATGTGATGAGATAGATGAATATGGTAACTTGTTTGACTGTCGTAATCCTTTCGCTATGTATATTTTTATTTGAAAGAATGAACACTGTTTTACATGCCAAAAAAGAAAAAGGAAGAGAAAAAGGATCTTGGCAGATGCAATTAAGTTCAGATCTTGAGATGAGATCACCCTGGATTTAGGGTGAGTCCTAAGCCCAGTGGCAAGTGTCCTTGTAAAAGAAAGGCCCAGGGTTTGTGTAGGCTCCAGCCATTCCTGTGACTTAAGGCAGAACACCCATTTGGAGTTGCTTCCTCCCTAAATGTGCTTTTTTCTATATGAAGTCCCATATTAAGTGAGCACCTGTTTTGGAGGAGTTGTACATACCAGCTGGAGGAATTCCTGCTGTATTGAGTTATTGTCTCCTTGTTTCCAGGGAGTCCCATGCTGGCATTGTTTAGAGGTACCTGGAATAGTATTCACCTGGGATCACCTCCCATCTGCTCTCCATCTGTCTCCTGGTAGGGTCACTCGAGTTGTGTTAGTTTTTTTCCTTCTTTGTTCTCTTCCCCTTTCCTTCTCTTCCTTCTATCCTGCATTCCTCCTTTCTCCCTCCTGTCATTTTCTGTCCTCCCGAAGACTTGGTGCTGAATCTTAAGGGGCTTCAGAAATTAAAAGCACCTAAGAAGTGAAACTCCTAAGGAAAACCTTAATGCTGGCTTTTGGAATGGTTGGTGGGGGACTGTAGCATAATTTACTATCTACTATTGCATTTGAACCTGGGAATGAAATAGCTGTCATGTGAATAAATACCTCAAGCTGTCAGACTGCTGGACCTCAGAGATTAGAAGCTGGGTATCTCAAAAAATGTTGATTTTAGATGCACATCCTCCCTTCCAACCACCAGGAATAATTTTCTGACATGGCTGGCTCTCAGCTGCCTTGTCAGATGTGTGGCTGACATCTGATCTGTGCTACACAAGCTTTTTGACAGAGGCAATTATATCCTTTGCTTAAGATGCTACTTAAAATGTTACACATTTTTGCTACTTGGCAGACACAGAATTCTACCCAGCCTCTAGGCTTTGATGGTGGTATTTTCATTTATTTCTCCTTTTTTAAAATGACAGGCTAGTGATTGGCTTGAAGGCGATGCCATATCTACTTAGAAAAACCACCAGTGCTGTTTTCTGGATTTCTTAGTAGCTAATAGGAAGCCTAGTAGTTGATGTGACTGCTTCTCAGAGGGGGTGACCTAAGTGTACTCCCATTCTGATACAAACACTTTTATTTCCCTTAAAACATCAATTTCATGGGCTGGACTTGAGTGACTGGGCAGGGGAGTTCTGGACTGTGGGCTCTCCCAAGACTAATTCTCTATGCTACATAGATGTGGGTTTTGCTTCTGCTATGTTTGCAGATAATTGGCTGCTGGAATGGAGTCCACATCCTCATATCGTCCTTAGAGCAATTGGTTTTCTTTGAACGTAAGAACAAACATTGATTTCTTTTGGAAACAAAGGATCTTGTTCTTAATCTACCATAAGCAGCCAAACATTGCTTATCTGAAGGGCTCATGTGTCAAACTCTCAGCAAACAGCAGTTCCCCATGGCAGCGTTCTTATGGGGCTTGCTCTGTAAGGCAGCCTAAGTCCCCCTTGATTAGAAAAGCAGAGACAACAGTTTCAAAGAGCAAGTGATTTTCATGCAACCTGAAAGAAGCTTAGGCTTTAAAGTGAAGAAAGGCAGTGTACCTTCCCAGAGTGCTTAAAGCAGGGATATTCTGAAAAGAGAATTTGTCTCTCAGAGCATAATCTCGATTTTTGATTGAGTATTGATTCAACTTCCAGAGAGAGAATAGATTTAAGAGAGAAAAATAGAAAAAACAAATTATTAATGCGAAGTCAAGCTATTAAGAAGCATCTTTCTTGTGAAAATGGTGGGAATAAACAGATGCCTATTCATTTCTATATTGTCTGTGGCCACTTTCACTTTACAATGGCCATGTTGAGGAGTTATAGAAGAGAAACATGGCCCACAAAACCAAAAATATTTATTATTTGGCCCTTTACAAAGAAAATTTACTAACCTTGCAGTTGCCCATGCTCCAAACAGATGGTATTAAAAAGCTTTACTAAAGCAAGACCAGTGCACTTAAATTGTGCACATGGATGTTTCAATTTTAAACATTTTAAAACTCCATTACAGTATAAAAAGGGGCAGTTGTTGCTTGTGGGATATATTTTTTAAATGACAGAGAAAGTCTAAAAGGCATGCCTGGCTGATGAAGATTCAACAGATGCTTCTTGAGTTCTTTCTGTTAGGTATGTACCAGGCTGAGCCCTTGGGGAGAGCACAAGGGTGATCGGACATGGCCCGTGCTTTCCTCCAGGATGAAGGCAAGCACTAAGTGATTAACACCACACTCTGGGATTGAGGAGCTGAGAATTCTAATCAGGGGACAGCGGAATCCTCCAGGGAGGAAAAGCCCTTTATCTTATAGTTTCCCATAAATGAGTACATGTAAGTTACATGTTTTGAGATGTTTAGTTATACAATATCTTAACTCTATTATTTAGCTGCATGTAGAATTTGAGGAGGAAAATCATTTCCATGCAGGATTCCAGTGCACAGTGAGCTTGAGAAGTCTGATTGCATTCCTTTCCTTTGCTTTGTTTTTTTCTTTCTCTGGAACCTCTTAGGGTCCTTTCTCTGTGTCTCACCATCTCAAGTCCACAATGATGTACCTTACCGGGATTTGTTTTTGGTATTTATTATTCTACTCACTCTGTAGGTCTTTTTAATCTGGAAATTCATGTACCTCACCTTCCTATTCCCTGTTTCTTCTCTCTAGAATGGTATTAGGCAGATGTTGATTCTCCCGCACTGATTTTTTATTTTGTTTCTGTCTTTGTCTTTTTTTGTTAGATTTCCTCCTTTCTCTTTGTCTTTTTTGTTCATCTGTCAGGATTTTAAAATTTTTATCTACTAACGCATCTACAGAATTTTTATTATGATTTTTATATTTTTAATTTCCAAGAGCTCTTTCTTGAACTCCGACTAGAAAAATCATTAACATCCTGTTTTTGTGTTTTCATGGATACAGCATCTCTTACCTTGCTTTGCCCGTGGGTTTTGTCTGTGCTCTGCCTTCCCTTTATTTGTGCATTTTTGTATCTAGCTTT